GCCGTAGGATTTACTTTTCGTTAGGTTAGGTTTGGTTAGCGAAGTGCATCACGATGGATCCGAGTTATCTCCCTTGTTCACGAACTCTTTGGAATTTAGCGTTCGCCAATACTGAAAGTTTTTCGCTGTTTATTATTTCATCTTACAAATTATTTTTACAAAATTACACTAAAAATATTATTAGACATGTTTGTGTATGTTTAACAGATATTCGTTAAGATTTTACCCTGATTTAATATACACTGATGGGTACTTTGGGTACGTTTGGGTAATTCGTTGGACCCGTATTACCTCCCTGTTTGGTAGCTGCCTATTACTACAATCATACAGTAAACCACTTGTAGAGGGCAGGGCATGAAGAATTAGGGAAATTCCTAGGTAAAATACGATGAAAACTTATCATATGACTGACACTAAAATTATGTCTACGTGCTTTGTATACGTGCAAAAATTAATCATTCACCGTAAATACCCTTCCGCGTACTCTCGTCCACAAAAAGAACATACGATTACACCATGACGGTTTCGACAAAGTTGTTTTCATTGGTACCAGATATGATAAGAGTATTATTGTAGTTTTACCCTAACTCAGTTAGAGCAATTTTGTGTTTACCATTAGTTATATCTAGTCAATAAGAACAACTTTTTTTAAATATCACTTCCGTCGTAAATGGATATAAACCGAGATAGTAAATTCACGCAAGAAATCAACGTAAATCTCCAGTCACCACATGTCTGAACGTATTCTCACGTCCATAAAAAAAAGCGTAAAATTACAACATGATGCTTCAACAAAGTTACTTTCATTGGTATCATCTATCAAAACAAGTACTGTACTCTGTTTAATATGGAGGGGACGACTTGGAAGTTAGGTAAGGTTAGGTAGGTTTCTTTGGTCGGTTAGGTCAGGTCAGGTTCTGGAGGGCATAACTTCAAAAGACTCGTTTCCGACGGAAGCTCAAATTCGAATGAATCACACCAAATACCATGGGAAAAATTCAAACATATGGTCGAACAGTAGTTGGAGCTTAAACTGCAAATTTATCATAATACAGTAAGTACTTTCTGTTTCCCTCGGCTAGTATGTTAGGTTTGGTTTCTTTGGTTGGTTAGGTCAGGTTCTCTTAGGTTCTAGTTCATGTCGCTTCTTTTAAAATATTTGATATAATGATAAAAACATCTGTGGAAAAAATGAAAGAAATCGAACAACTCCGAAATATTTATAGTAATAACAAAGTGTCCTTATTCTACACCTTTACCAACACTGTAAATTGAGTAACACATGGTAATTTATAATGCATTTTAACTGCACTTACCTTGAAAGGTTGTACATCCACTGTAGGGAATAGTTGCAACGCCCTGATACACTTAAACATCTATAAACAGCTAGGTCCAATAATGTTAGTCACATAGTAAATTATGTTCCACACACTTTTTAAGCATCCACCTCCAGACACAATTAAAGAGAGACTGAGGGAGAAGGGCCAAGGCTGCGGTGTCAGTCAATTAGCGGAAGAAGTAAACACAACAGGTGGAACCAATGTGAATAAGCTTATCGCTGTTTCGATTATTAATAACTATTTTCTCAGTCTTTCACTTTAAGTAAACTTTAGTATTATGTTCACATATCGTAACTTTGTAAGAATTTCATTATACATTATTTATGGCGAACACTATGGGTCGTCAGTTGACCCATCAGTCACCACTACAGTATTGTTAGTGTCTTATTTTGCCGACCCTTAAGTGAAAGTTTTGTTCTGCTGAATATTCTCTTTTCATTTACTGATATAATTTGGCTTCTACCACACCGAACTTAATACACTGCTACCGCATGTTGCTTTTGCTGTAAGTTACTACAGCATTACACTAGTTCCACTACGAAAAAGTCGGGAATAATATTCATAACGTGGAAATCAGTACGAAGTTTTATCTCTCAGTATTTTATCGTTGTTGAACTAGTGTATTACTAACCCAAGGTACTATAGTAACCTTGCTACGCGCTTGATGGCATTATAAAAACAAGGAGTACTAGTCTCCTTTTGCCCTTTTTGTTCATTCACTGTGACACCTTCTTGGCTGTTCCCAAGCTGACACTGGTTTATAACTAGTCTTTCTCACTCATTTTTTTTGCATATTTTTATCTTTCTCTCATTACATCTGAATTCATTTCTGAATTACATGAAAGCACTCTGGAACATCGCGTGGTTATCAACATTACAGCATATGGATCGCGCGGACAGTGAATATTTGCATATATAATTAACTGTGCTGGATTACCAAAACACTTCCTGGTGTCTAACTTTCTATTTACTGTATTGTAGGTGGCATATTTAATGGGAACCTCAGGTAAATTACACGAAAAACAAATGTACAAGACATGATCCAATTCACTCACTTGTTTTAAAGGTCTACCATCTCATTAAGTTGCTTCAAGAATTTGGGACAAGCTCCTGGACGACCTTCACAGCCCAGGCCAAAGACTATATACTGAAGACAGGAATGAGTGTTAAATAGTCGGTAATAAAACTAGCTGGGACCACAAGGCACATTGACGTCATTTTATGTAGTCTCGAATTAGGATGGCCCTGCAGTCGTATTTTTGTGACGTCACGTTGTCGTCTGCATTTTTCAAAATCTTTTTCTACAGACAAGACTAGCTATTTTATAATCAGTAAAATTATTGATGACACGCTTATATTTCAGTTTAGCTTTGTTGTCATAGATACTAAGAAATTCGTCATTTTGATAAAGAAAAAAGTGGATACTTTTGGATACTTTTTAGAAAATTATGGATACCTATTGATTATTCCCACTAGCAACACTGCTGCGGCCAAGACTTCTGGACCCTCAGTTCAACATGCCGGGTAGATTACATCCTTGCGTTATTTGCAAGAGGAGAAAGGATACACATCCAAATTTTCATTTTCATCGGTTCCCAAATGACAGAGATAGGTAACTTAAGTATTTAATCTCTTGTAAGTTACAGTGAAAATGTGCAATTATATATCGAAATACATTTCAAATTAGAGGCAGCAGCTTCATCAGCCACTCCGACTCACTTCATACAAATTTGACAGGTGTCGCAGACGGCAAAATGCCACTGACATTCTCAGAATATACGTGAAGAACTGTGAGGAATTGTACAGAAGTTATCGAGTGTGCTTTTTTTCCTTCATAATATATATATATATATATATATATATATATATATATATATATATATATATATATATATATATATATATATATATATATATATTGCATGATTAATAATTAATAATTAATGTTAATTTTTATGGTAATGTTAATATTTGCATGTATCATGTTAGATGGAATATTATAATACATGAGTAACCAAGAGACAACTTGAATTTTCGGTTTTGTGTGTTTATTTCAATAAAGATAAACAACAAGAATGCCTTTAATAGCCAAGAACTCTACTGAAATCAAGGTCATTTATTCCCAAAATTTATGTAATGGCATGACAGGTGATTCATCACTTGCAGTAATTGTATAATTGTTCAAGAGAAAAGATTTTGTCTTTTAATTTCTGAACTCATTAAGATCTTGAGGCAATGGAGTCAGTGAAAATTATACAGTAGTGTTTTCATCCTCTCTTTATATGTATACATTCATGCATACATAAATGAAGATTGATGTCTAAAATAAATGGAAAACGTAAAAAACATCACTCATGGCGCCACATCAACGTCTATGACGTCACGAATAGCTTTTGGACTCAGCCAATAGATGGCGCTACTATTGAGGTATCTGGCAACTGTACCGTACACACATTTCATATACTTTAGCTGGAACTTTCCTGTCTTGAGTAGAGTATCTTTGACCCAAGCCACCTACTGAGGGTGACCCCACGCCTGCTGGACCCGGAGTCTGCCCGCACTACAACAACCCAACCCGCGAATCTAAGTCCGCCACAACAATCCACCTAGGATAAAAACTTGGATGATGTAAGATCACATTTAACAAGTCACAATCTAGTGAGTCCATAACGTAATACAGTAATAAGATTTTAATAAATATGTAAGTGTAAAATTAAACTGTCATTGTCACCCAAAGTAACCATTGTGCAACTTCATCCTAAATCCTAGGTTAGCTTAGTTAGCCAACAAACTTTGTAATATGTAAAACAAGGGGTCTCGTCCCCCTCTGTTTAACTCGTTAAACTTCTTTTCCAACCTTTCCCCCCACGACTATCTGCCGTGATTTCTCTATCCTTCATGTGATCGTTTACAGTTTCACCTTTGTCCTGACGTATACTATACTTCAATTATTTTCTAGTTAATAATCAATATTACATTTTTTTTGGTTAAGTATACCCTACTGTATGTCTTTTGGGTGATATGATTTCCAAAACGTGATGTGGTACAAATACACTTACAGTACTTAACTGCAGACCAAACATGGTGACCTGCCCTCTGCTTACAAGCATACTACCGTCTTGGCAGCCAATGTACGAGATTTTCAGCGAACAGCTCCTTCTCGTTGTGTGCCTAGATTTCGAGTATCTAGATATATTTTATTTCTAGATAAGGTGACCATTCACCGTTCAAACTTCTTGGTAAGGCATAATGTTTTATATATTCCTTCCTCTTGATCCCCTCATTATTTTTTCACGAAATCTATATCATTAATCTGTAATTTTAACCTCTATTGCCCTCGGACCCTGAGGTACAGAAAATTGTTTAATTTTCGTTTTATTGTTGGCTACAGTTGGATACCATTGTGTTGCTACTCGCTCATCGTCATGCCTGGCAAAAGATCACTCTCGTCAGTGGAGTATTGATGACAGGACCACAAGCACTTAATGAAACTGTACTGGCGTGTTATTGTTTGTGCACCGTCATTTACCACTGTTACCTGTGCATTTTCTACTACTCTACTGTGATATATATATATATATATATATATATATATATATATATATATATATATATATATATATATATATATATTTTCTAAGGATATAAATAATAAATATGTAATTTTTAGCTATATATTTATCTGTTTTACAAGTCAACCTCACAACCAAACACACGGACTAGAGCAAACATAAGCACTGGGAGTCAGTCTCGCATTGCTTATTCCAGCACTCTTGTCTTTTCATTTTTTCACTCACACTTCTTTGCCGACTGCAGAATGTCGACTTTCTGGGGTTTTCCTCAAGTGACTGGAATAAGGGAGCTCGAACTGTATACAGTATATGGTGTTGAGGGGGAGTGATATATTGTGAAGATAACAACAGGAGTCTAGATTATAGTGTAATCTCTTCCTTTCTTCAGCATCACTCACCACAGCTGCATTAGTCACACCTCACGAATCACCATCAACATAAACCAAAAGGCTACATATACAGAAGGCAGAAAATTTGTAATTCTTGCTTTATGGGACTAATCAGTGTCGTTAAGTTCAAGAGCACCTCTATTCTTGTTTAAAGTAAGATGTGCTAACATGTATGATTGATTAAAAAATAAAATAAAATAAAAATAATAATAATTAGGTAATTAAGTACTTGAGCAATTGAAAATCTGTTAGTTCACTTCTTTCAACAATAGGTGTTGACTGTACTGTATTTTCGATCATTGATTATCATTAACCAGTCAGGTGCTGCTCGAATTCAGCTGTCATCTTTTGTATACACTGCCATCTGCACTAAGCTCATAAACACTTAACACACAAGCTCACAAAACAATGACAAGATGAGGGTAAAGAGAATGTGTTTTTTGCCTGAACACCAAGTACTATATATATCTGCATTCAAGAATTTCTAAAATATCATTGTTATGAAAGTATATGTTCTATTTTTGTATAAACAAATAAGAATATAAGTTACAAATGCAAAGAATATGATACATACTGTTCAAGACCACCTATAGTGTCCTCCCTTATAATATAGATTCATTAAAATAGCTTGTTCACATCTCATTCATTTAGCTATATACACATTGGAGTAGCAGTACACACATACAGAGGAACATCATTACAAAAAATAACAGCAAATGTTAGCTTAATATTTCTACAGGGGTAATGAAGAGCTTAATCTTGAGTTCGAGTTCCATCCCTTAGAAATTGAACATCTTTCAGAGAGTAATTTAGACAGGAGAAGTTTGGCCACTCTTTCCCTTCATATAATATACTGTATACATATATATATATATATATATATATATATATATATATATATATATATATATATATATATATATATATATATATATATATATATATATATATATATATATATATATATATATATACTGTATATACATATATATATTACTGTAACCTGTACATTTTATTTTAGAACATATATTAAATACAAATATTTTTTAAATATTTCTGCACCATTAAAATATTCCTGTAATTATGTAAGACAATATATTTCATTTAATTTTCCCTGTGTATTTTACACGGATCAGTTCCACATGCTAAGTATATTAATCTTAAAATACTCAGTATGTAGTGTCCACATTCTAAAAGACATACTTGTTATAAACTACAATGGTTTTCTAGTTTGGGAAATACAGTATAATTAATCATTGTTTCATGACATGGAAGACTGATTTAAGGAGGGTAAGTAAAATGTATTCCTGCACTTCAGAAATTCTTAAAAATAATCACCACAGGCTCACCCCTGCACGAGAGAGTTGTAATGCCATGACAGCATGGCTCTGTGTCATCATTTTCTTAATTGTTTTTTATTTAATTCCCAGGCTTTAGAGTACTGTACAGTACACAAGAAATGTTTATGTAATAGGAAGGATGTACTGTACTATCCATAATTAACTTTATCAGAACTTGCAAATTAGCATAGGTCTTACAAAGAAATTTTGCACATTTACTGGTTGAAGGTACAGTACTTCTCAACGAATTTTAAAAATCTATCAGAAAATTACTGGGGCAGGGAATGTATGCTTTTATGCTTTAGGAGTGATGTTTCCCACACGTGTACTACATCACTGAGCGTTTAATATACAGTACAGTGTACATTGAGAAACCTGCTTTTTATGTGAGAATCATTGAAAACTTTGTACAGTATATAAGAATTTTTCTTCAAAATATAACCATCCCCCAAAAATTCTTTAGATTTCTTTTCATTTTAGATTTAATATTATTGATTACTTGCCAAAAGACATTTGCCCTAGAGGATAATTTTAAGTGTTTTCAATATTATCTGGTTTTTGAGTTATTCTCATCACAAACTGAAAAGAAAAGCACTCTCTCAAAAGATTCATATATTGTCCTTTCTATAAGACCAAATAAAAACTGCTATCACAGCCCTTGTTGAGGAGGAAACTGCGCATATAGTACTGTATACATGAAATGCTTCAGCGCGCCACACTGCACAACACTGAGCCAAACTGGCAATTTTAACAGTAAAACAACTGTTCTAGTCAGTACCTCTGACCTACATTTTTTTTAATATAAATAGAGCAAATATAGTAATAGACTAAGAAAATAATATTCTTAATCCTACATTAATATTGCCATATCACAAAATATACTCTATGCAGTATAGCTATTTCACCAACATTCAGCAGTCTTACTCACTAATTCACTAGGACATACATGATGCTTCTCAGGATCAACTTTATGCAGCACTTCCCTTAACTATACTATGTACAACTTAATATGAAAATATGCTTCACTGAGTTATATGAAACACTTATTATATATGCCTGCAATATGAAATAATCTCTGATGGAATAACTACTGTATGTACTGAGCAGAAGAAATATTTTCCAGTTGCTGCTTACATTAAAATGAGTAATTATTAAACAATTTCAGATTTAAATACACTGTAATATTTTTCACTAAAATTCAAATCTACATAAGGTCTTTTATGAATATTTTGTGAGTGAACTTTCTAAGCGAACCCCCTGACTAAGCAACCATTACCAATATTCTTCCATTAAGGTAATTGACAGGTAAGTGCAGTGGGGCATTCTAATATATCCCAACAATATAAAATGACTACTACTGTACTTCTAAACATTACAGTGGACAGGATCTTGCTACTCATACCACACCTCACATTCTTCCATAACTAACAGTGGCTGCATGAGCGTTTCCTAAAATTATTTTTAAAAATTAATATTTACACAGAAGAATTACTGAAGGAAGCATCTTCTTGGTTCAATATTTTGGACAATGGTTGCTTGACATTCCTTACAGCCAAAAATTCTAAATTCTGTTTTTTTTAAGTAAATAAACATTAAGTTTTTCTATTTCACACTTATAAATTAATGCAAAGGCTTTAATTACAAAAGTAGCAAAATTAAACACTAATTACCTTGGATAAATGGAATGAAGGTGGAATGTTTTAAACACAGCAAAGGAAATATTTCCTCAGATACTTCCCAGGTTTACAAGGTGGTTCCTACCTGATATCATGGGTCATCTTATGCTGGGTCCTTAGTTACACAGGATGCTGACTCTGTCCACAATATGTTGACTTATAAGTTATCAGCCCTACCTGGCCCTAAGCTCCATTATGGACCCCATGGTTTGTATGAGTAAACTATTACCCCATTATCATGACACCTATTAAAATTTTCTATAAATTCTCAAGTGGAGAACATTGCACTGAAAGATGCATAACATGGTGATCGCTATTATTGGGATGTAAATATAAAATGTTTTTACAGTATAACCATAAAGAATTCAATAAGGAATTAAACACATCTGAGAATGAAAAACAGAAACAACGATGAATGTGAAATGCAATTTATCAAATATTTTACTCTGAAAATTAAAATATTACTATTATTAATTGTTTATAAACTGGTTAACTACTCTACTGTCTCCCCCCACCCTGAGCTGGACAAAAACTTAAATTTCAAACAAGAGAGAAATAAATGATCCCGTGAGAAATACTCACAGGATAATATATGTCAAGAGATACATTTTCGCACACAGTTATTACCTTAGAAAACAAAAACCTAAAATCTTTCACCAAAGATTGCTTAAAAATTTTCTCCATTAAAAGATAAATACAGTAAAAATAATTGTGCACAGGTATGCAGTCTCAAGCTTTTTTTGAAGAGGATTCTATATTGACCAGCATATTGTAAGTCAAGATGGCTGCTTATTTCCTATACAGTACAGTACAGTAAGGTACAGTACAGTACTGTATAAGGATGACAAGGTAGTTACCTGGAGTACAGCTTGTACTAATTTACTAAAAAAGACTGAAAAGATTATAAATAAATAAAAAGAATAATGATAAGTAATCATAATTCATGTACAGTACATACAGTACAGTACTTATACTGTACCTGTACTACAGTATAACCAAAGGTACTGTAACACATCTCAAAAATACACTTTGCTAGAAAATACTGCAATGAAAAATCTTCTATATACATTACAGTACAGTATATATTTTGGCTATTATACCACTTAAATCATTCATCCATATTCTTACAATCAGTACTTTTTAACCGACTTTTTTTTTCTTCAATCGTATACAAATTATATTTATGGAGATTTATTTTTTACTTCTGTATCTCTTCCTAATTCTTACTCTTCTGTTTTCAAGCTAAGGTTTTCCCTATCCTGAAAATAATTAAAAAATATACAGTAGACTGTATACAGTATGTACAGTATACCTTTACTGTATACATAATGTAGCAGTACAGTATACTGTATAAGTAAAGGATTCCTGTGAGTAAATATTTTAAATCCTTACACTTGTATCCAATAAAAACACAAAACTGTTCATTTTAGTGCTTTCAGGTAATGCGAGAACTGCATTAACTGCATTAACAAATCTAAAAAAAATTACAAGTTAGTTAACTTAACACTTTGGGTGATCACACCACAATTCACATAATGTATACTGTACTGTATTTTTTATGTTATTCCTTTTTGTTTGTTTGCGAAGATTCAATTCCACAGTACAGTACTGTACTGGTATCATATAAAATTCCACAATATTAGACTGTAAAATAATGATAATTTGCAACAAATATAAATTTAAAAGCCTGTGTTCAGTTAATGAAAAAATATATAAACTATGGCAAACTCCTCTAAATATCTGCCTCTGGAAATAGGTAAACTGCTGTGCTTGTTTCAAATGTTGTATGTACAGTATTGTAACACCTGACTTGAGTAATAAGACATTCAGTACCTATTTGACACACTGCATTCTGCCTCTGCTGAACTTAATATATTTGCCATATTTAACAATATACGTACAGTATAATCAAGGATAAATTTAAAGGGATTCTTATAAGTAAAACATTTGAGCTTCGGAAGTTAACATGTTCACTTACTCAGACGTGTTAATTACTGGTACTGTAATATAAAAACTAGGAAACCACAACATTCGCTTAACACTTCAGAATAAAACAACCTAAAACCCTGCAAGAAATCAACAACTTCATTTAATTTACAATTAAATGTTGAAAACTTCTCTTCATTTTTCTCATCTCAGGATAAATGCATATCATTACCACATATGAACAGGTATACAATAAATAATGCACCTACTTCACTGCCAAAGTCTTCACTAACTTGTCTCAGCTGCCTATTACCATACAGTAATATGTCTTAAATTATTAACGGAAGGCTTTATATAACGTTAACATTACATACCTACTAATTCCTGTTATAGAAAATGAGTACGGTATACAGTACTTTGTAATATCAGTTATCAGAAATGTTTATAAATTCATACAAGAATAAACAAATCTATTTAAAAAAAATTATTTCCATAAATAAAAATGATATGAACACATTAACATTGCTGGTACTCTATGAAGGCAAAATAACAGTATTATTTTAATACTTTTTCAAAATACATTAATAAACATATAATAATTTGTTACAAAATAATCAGCAATGACCAGTTCGTTAATCTGTACAGTACTGTATATGCTGTTACGACTTCCTGGATGTACTGTACTGTATAAAATGCTCGTGTATCAGAGAGCATATTGTTCTTCCCATTGGTTTCTTCTCATTTTCCACAGAAGTCATTGGTCTACCTCACTCTTGTCACACTAGAACTCGCTTTCCATTAGATGTATTAGCACCACATATCGTACCAATACAAATACAGTAAAATAAATCTATGGAAATTTGTAGGTAGAATTTAAGCTTACAGTACTTCCAAAATTGTATCCCAAGTACTGTACACATTTGAGAGACTTTGCTCTAATTTCAGAGTATTTATCCATCTTATATAACACCAGTGAGCATGAGTTTCTTAAACGTTGTGCAAACCAAAGAAAGAGCAGGACCCATCACCTCAAGCACACACACACACTAACTTCTTTTGTAGTAGTGAAGTGTTGGACAATACCAGTTACAGTATTTCTTCAGTAACACTTTCAACATAAATATTACCAAATATAAATCAGTGACTTCACAGCTAATTGTTCATTATTCACATATTAGTGAAAGTGGGTCCCCATAGGCCTGGTGGCCAAAATGGGGCAGTGTGGATACAGCACACTGAAAACTAAGCCTTTCAGCACACAAGGAGACAGCATGGCCGGCCTACACTCTACAGCCTTTCAATGCCCCAACTGTAAAGTTAGGTACCCATTCTGCAGCTGGGTCAACTGGGGGTGCCCCACTCAGTGGCCGGCTGCAGGATTCAAACCGGTGACCATTGAGTCAGGATGGTGAGTGCTAAATTCACTTGACCACCTTGCCCCTCTTCACATATTAAATTTATATATATATATATATATATATATATATATATATATATATATATATATATATATATATATATATATATATATATATATATATATATATATTGTCATGGTAATGTTCATGTTGGGAATATCACTTGCTCATAAACTGTTCGGTTAACAACTGAATCTGAGTTTAATGTGTATTGGTACTTTTAATCCAGACAAGCCTGGGGTGAGTAAATCTTGTGTTTCCCAAATACAGATCACGTACATCTCACTTATTTAATGGAAGTCATTAACAACAACATGTAGAGGATCTTGAGCCTTTTCTACACACTCCCTCATTATCTGGAGAATAATATTAAGCCTTCGATCCAAGGCAACTAGGTGAGGCTCCCACAACACTGGGTTGACTGGGTCGAGGCTTAATGATGCTCGCATGGCTTCACTCAGGTGATGAGGGCCCCTGTGATACCTGTGGATCAGTACAAAACAAGAAATGTATTTCATATCATCCATAATGATATCAATGTATATGAGAGTGTACCCGGTAAGTCAGATATGTTGCCTTTTCATGGTAAAAGTGGTTGCCAAACACCTGATCTACCTAGTGTCTAAATATATAGTACAAGTATTTTGAAATTACAACATAACAAGAGCTGTCAGCAGACTGAGGCACTTGCTCCTGTGTTTGTTCAATTCAATTTCAATTGTTTATTCCTTGATAGAGGAAGCGGGATCCTAGTGCTGTCACTAGGTACCCCTGTACTGTGTTTGTTTTCTTTTCGGTGAGGTAACTAGGTGTTATTAGTGATCATCCACATGACGTCTGGTGACTATAGCATGTTAAACCATCCCTGGATGTAAAACTTGACATGATCTTTATTTCTAAAAAGTAGGTCACAGACCTACTTTGAAGAGACGTGATCCAATTTCTAAAATTGAAGGTCAAACTAACATATTTGTCAGTAACCTATTTATACTGTACATAGGAATGACTTCTGTATACAATATGTTATTGGATCAAGCTCATAAAATCTGGTGACTATAGTACATTGAGACCATACAGTATTTCCCAAACAGGTCACAGTGACCTCTTTTTTAGTGAGAATAAAATGTTTCATTAATTGATTAAATCCATAGTGTCTGTCTGGCATTTAAAACACTACTACCTAATTTCCCCAATTATAGGTCACAGTGACAAATTTTTCCATAGATGTGTCTGTGTCAATAGCTGGTCATACTATTTTTTTATTAAGGGGATTAGCCCACTCAGGCATAGGTCACTGACCCACATCAGGGCTTGGGGAGCGAAAATATAATAATAGTAATAATAATTAATAAAAATTAATAAAAATTATATTAAAAATAATAGTAATAATAATACAAATAATAATCATAAATAATACAAAAATAAAAAATAAATCAAGAGTGAGAAACGTCATACATTATGTATGTTGTGTTGTCAATAGTAAAAGAAACAATTGAGACCCTGCAATTGTGAGTAAATGAGGCAGAGAGTTAGGTCAGCATCCTGGAACTTGGTCACAATTTTTGTGGTGCCATATGGCAGCAGGGTCTACCGTTAGATAACACATTATGCTTCCAATATCTTCCCAGGCGGTAGTACCTTTCTGTTTGGTAGCTGCCTACTACCTACTACCATATGATTGTAGAGTATTTCAAAAAGTCCAGATTTTCAAAGTAGTTACTGTATTATGCTACTGTATTTAGTTCATACTCTGTACACATTAGGCCTGTGTCGGGCATAAATTATGTGACCCATAATTTCCACATAAATAGGCAACAGTGCCCCCTAGCTTTGAGAGAGGCGATCAAGTATTCATCATGCAGAACAAGTCAGGTGATTGTATTTTGTAGCACATTGCATCAGTGCAAAAACTGACTTTAACCAATATTCTCCCCCAAAATGGTCACTATATTATAGAGAGAAGATTCGGGTATCCTTAGATGACCACAGTAGTACTGTAAACAGGTTGACAACCCTTTATCCGAAATTCCGAAAACCGAAAAAATCTGAAAACCGAATTTTTTTTTTTTTTTTTTTAACAGGGATTAGCCCATCGGGGCCTGGGAGCGAAAATGTAATGGTAATAATAATCATAATAATAATTATTCATAGTAAATAAAAAATTTAATACAAAATACACCCAAATAAAATAATAATGATAACAATAATAATAATAAAATATAATAATAAAATTAATAATAATAACAATAATACTGTAATAATAAAATAATAATTAAGAAATACAAGAATGAAAAAAAGATAAAAAGTGAGAAACACGACCTAGACCTAAGAATAATAATAATAATAATTATTATTATTATTATTATTATTATTATTATTCTTATTCTTACTCTTATTCTTATTATTCTTATTATTATTCTTATTATTATTATTATTATTATTATTATTATTATATTTTCGCCCCCCAGGCCCAAATGTGGGTCAGTAACTTGTGCCCAGGTGGGCTAATACACACATAAAAAAAAAAAAACTAACCATTCTGTAAACCGAAAAATTCCGAATTCCGAAATGCCTCTGGCCCCAAGGATTTCGGATAAGGGATTGTCAACCTGTACCTTAAATATATGCTAACGCCACACGAGGGTATGATAGCCTACGCTTCTCTGTGTTTGGTGAGGGCGTTAAAAATTGGAGTACAGTATACCTTGTTGCCTAACAAATAAGTACCTGTACAGTCAAGAAGAAGGTCTAATAAGAAGTTAATAATTATCATGAATACATCTAAAACTAAATTACAGTAACATCCAAACAAGAAATTAAAAAATAAATAATAAAAAAGATCGAAGCATAAACCGATACAGTATACAGTACAGTACTCAGTTCTGTGGTTGTGCTATTAACTACAGTATACTGTATTTGAACATTTGAGATAAAAATAAAATATAAAACATGATAAAGAATGTTTAATTTAAACGTATTTAGTCACAACTATTTATGAAATTAGAACCAAGTATATATTGTATACCATATACAGTAAATGCATCTGATGTAAAACATTCTAAATAATGAAAATAAATTTAAGGGTAAAATTTCACTTGTTGCTACTATACGAAATCGAAGTTGAAACTTTTTCCGATGGTTTTCGATGTGATATGAACGAATTTGACTTTCATTTCTGGCGCAAATCAATAGCTTCTGAGATTAGCCCCCCTCCCATTTCAGAATAAAAAGATTTACTATAAAAATCAAGTTAAAAAGTGTTCAGAACACACCGAAAACCTTCGGAAAAAAAACCCTAACCAACCTAATTGGGGAGCTCCACAGTCGTTCCATGTTCTGGGTGTACCGCCATGTACGGACATACATAATGAAATGTTAAATATCTCGCCTAAGCGTAATTTGTGCCAGAAATGCCACTGAATAAAAATGTCTTAGAATTGTCAAAATTACAGATTGCAACTATAAAATTCACGAGATTCGATGTTGGCAACAAGTGAAAGGTAAATTTTCATGCATAATAAAATGTTAAATATCTCGCTTATACGTAATTTGCTCCAGAAATACAATTGAAGAAAAGTGTCTTAGAATTGTCAAAACTACCGATTGCAACTATAAAATTCCCAATATTTATGTAGTGACATTATATTTCCAGATATAAATTAAAAAAAATAGTACTTTAAAGAAAGATGTAGCTTCGTGTGTACACTTAGTTCACCAGGAAATAAAGCTTTGTTTGTTGTCGTATTTCAACAAAGGAACAACTAGGAGTACAGTACAGTAATGTGTAAAACTTTTTTAACCTACCCGAGTAAGGAGGTCAAAATTAAACCTCGCAAGTAAGATAAGTACAGTAGATTATGGTGAGCAAACAGCTACTGAACCCACCTTAATAAGGAAGCGAGAGTAGAATGTCGGATCACACAACACTGGTAGACAGGCGCCAGGATGGATACCTCATCATGGAAGGCCTTACCAAACCCTCGCCCATGGTCCAGATGTAGCGGTGCCGAGTTGTTACCAAACATCTGCCAGACACAAGTAAATAATGATTCGTTATTATCATTATATTTACCTAACAAACACAAACAATAAACAATTGCTATGATAAAAGTGTTTGCTTTCCATTAAAATGAAATATTATATAGGAATTTAGTAAATCTGGTAAACTGTATTGGAGTTTCATAAGCACTCCTTCCAATCTGAATTGCTTATGAGGCTGCTGAGATCATGATTTTCAAGGAAGTTTTATCGACACTAAAGTATTAGAATAAAAACTTTCCATCATTAGGATCTTTTTATATCTTTCAATAAGCCAAGTGAATTCCGACAAAAGTTCTAATATTTCCGAAGAAAAATCAGGAGGTAAGCGCGATACAACCGGAATTTTTACCTTAAACGTTTCGTAATGATGTCGATCCATGTTGCCCATGAAGAAGTCGAGCACAGACATATCCATAATATCTAAAAGTCGACGACCTTCATTATAAGGATGTACTTCCTTAACCAATTCACAGTAGTCGTCGTCTGCAAATAACAAAACTTGTGATTAAAAAAAATGGTACGCACATGAGTAGTGTTATTAGTAGCGGGGTCATAATTATGAACTCGTCCTCTTAAGTAGAGACCTTATTAACAACACCTTCATCAGTCTTCTTACTCTGTATGTAGTTACTACTTTCACTCTTCCCAATTCTCCCTGTTTCAGTGTATTATAAGTGTATTCCACTGAATACAGTTTCAAATGTCTATCGTTCACAGAGCAACAATTGGTGCTGTAACTACCAGAGAAATGACAAAAATTCGTCTAACACTTCCATTATATTGATGGTATACTTTCATAACACATCACTCACATAATAATTTATCATAAAACTGTTACACTGTCTTATCTACGGTGTAATATTTTATTAAAACATTAGCCACACCATTAATCTGTTATACTCTCACACCCACCATTATTTCAGTTATATTTCCTCTTACTCTGTGGGATTCAGGCAGCTTTTTTTAAAAATGGTAGCTAATTCTGAGCTCCAGTTGCACACACACATACCACTTAATTACATTTGTTGTTGAACTTGTTTTCACTTACAAGAAACTATCCTTCATCATCTATGTGTCACTTGTACAATACAGTCTATATAATCCTACTGTAGGGTGTATTGAAGAAAAAACCGGATAACTAATACGTTAAAGGAGGACATTTTAAGTTAAGTAAGATGATGTGCTGCATGTGGCGTGAAGGCGTAATGTACTCACCAACTTCCCACTGGGCCTTGCGTCTCTTGTGATAGCTCCTGCGCCACGGGTGCCGCCACACCTTACGGGGCGCCGCTTCCTTCCCCGGCAGGAAGATGGCGAAAGATCCCTCCAACATGTCAGGGCTACCGCAGATGGCGTGGGCCGTGTCGCAGTAGTAGCTGGAAGGTTGTCCACGCGTACAGTAAACTACACTAGCGCTACTCTATACCATGTCTAAAGTTAGTCTAAGTGGCTGTCAATGAGTTAAAACTATGTCACGCTAAACCACTCTTATGAATATGAAAGGAATACTCGAAAGTTTATACCAAAGACAACAAAACAACAACTAATAAAGAATACTTAGAATAAGAGCCATAGACGACAAGAGATAAATATACTAAACAACAATTCCAAATATATGGTCATTCAGTCTAATATGTGTTGACCATTTAGAGGCGAAGCAAAAATAAATGATAGACAGAAGAGACTCCGTATACACTTACTTTGTATCTTGGCGACATACTGTATACTGTACTGGGTGAACCTCCTCAGGTTATGACTAACTAGAGGCGCGACTCACCTGACGCTGAAGCAGAGAGGCTGACTTACCTGCACTTACGTCAGTTGTTGTCAGCTAATGGTTGACTCACCTGCATTTGCCATGGAAGCAGAGATTGTTGTCGGGGGAGATGAAGAAGGTTTTGAGGAGGTCACCCTGGGCCAAAGCGTACAACTCCCGCGTTATGTTGACGTTACGACCCACTATGGGCACAGCTCGCCGGAAACCTAATAACCTGTCAGGAGGAAAACACATTTATTCCAGCAACTGTATCTTCCAAACATTATCTTAACATACAGTAAGTACTTTATCCTCTCGTGTGGATTTCCAGTCAGCCTGATAGACAAAATAATTTATTCCTAGTACGGTATCTCCCAGAAGTATTGGATATAGGAATAGTTTAACTTTTGAATGAGGACAACAAAGTCTTTTAAAAGGTGTGTAAGAATTTTTACTATAACTTCATGCATTTGGAGACGAGTGACTTTTCGTGACTTGAGAGAGAGAGAGAGAGAGAGTTAATCAAAGTGAATGCAGTGACTGAGCTCTGAACGAAGGCACAGTAATGGACACAAAATGTGGTCCTCAGTTTCTGTTCTTTAAAACTCGTGCCACATTCCACATCTTCGCTGATTGGTTAGTTCCACCTCGCTGCCCGCACCCGGTCTTAGGAAGAAGGGAGTGAGGGAGGTAGGAGTAGTTCCTTTCCGACATGATACTCTTCCTTCTTCCTGACCTTCTCTCTAATAATATTACCATTCTCTCAACTTCCATTCCCTTCCCCTTGTTATTACACCTAACTTTATATATCTGTCTCCCTCCTGGTTATTCTACAACACTTGGACACACTGCCACCACATGGTTCTCCTAAGTGTCTTTCTTCCTCTCTCCTACACCCCTTGCCTAATGTTTTGTGTCCGACACTTTACTTCATGCTAAACCCTGCAATGTAATATTTCTTCCGTACCACCACCACCACCACCACCACTCAGCTGACGAGGCTACTGTAAGCTGAGGAGTATTGGTCACTGATACTGAAGGGTTCTCAAGTCGCACCAGCCAGTCAGTCACTCATGTTCTCCTTGTCGTGGCCACCATTCTATTCACTCATCACCCACCCTACTCACCCATCATACACCCCACTCACTTATCACCCACCCTACTCACTCATCATCCACCCCACTCACCCACCCCACTCACTCTTCACCCACCCTACTCAACCTTCACACGCCTCACTCTCATCCCTACTGTGGCCATATAAGGGAGACTTTAAGAGCATATATAATAGATAGATAAAAATTATGAGACAAAATTCCTAAGTTCTTTAATGGTATAGACCACCATCACCATTTTAAGATTCACAGCAGGGGGGAGAGAGAGAGAGAGAGAGAGAGAGAGAGTAGAGTAGAGAGAGAGAGAGAGTAGAGTAGAGTAGAGTAGAGTAGAGTAGAGTAGAGTAGAGTAGAGTAGAGTAGAGTATTCAGTGCAGCACCAACCTGTCGAGGTGGAAGGCGGCGATCTCAGCGTTGTGTCTCTCGAAGTCGGTGAAGTAGAAGTGATTTTTAAGAGTTTGTTGCTCCCGCGGGAACCTGTGGGAGGAAGGAGGGAGGGGGCGATTAGCGGTGGCCATCATCAAAATATTGGTCTCACTACACATATGTGCGACCTGACTACATTGATCCGAGATGTAACTACGGGTGGATAGCTTAAGTAACCTGTGTGAGATGAGGTCACTTGTAATTGATGTGGTTTCTGTGTTACCTGTGGGCCTTAGTAGACAGGTGTGAGGACCTAATTAACTGGAAATTTCGAGATCCAGCTAAGGTCCGTGGCCTAAGTACACACACAGGTGTGAAACAGGTCTGACAGGTGTGAAAGCTAACTACTCAGGTGTACTGTATAGCCTAAATACATAAGTATATGGCCTGACTACACAGGCGCACACTTGGCCATGTAGCCTCAGGATTCAATAAGACGATGAGAGATATATCATCACTACGTGTCCTACCAGTAAAATGTTTACTTATGATTTGCTCTACCATGTGTCGGTCATGAACTTGAGAAAGCACACACACACACACACACACACACACACACACACACACACACACACACACACACACACACACACACACACACACACACACACACACACACACACACACACACACACACACACACACACACACACACACACACACACACACACACACACACACACACACACACACACACACAGATACTCACCTCATGGGCTTGAAGAGAGAGTGGCCACCGTCGATAAACTCAATAATGAGCTTGAGCTGTGTACCTCCCTCCTTCTGACCTGGTGGAGAACATAGTGTTATTTAATGTGGATTAATAAAGAGAGAGAGTGTGAGTGTATAAAGTGACACCTGTCTCCTTGATAAGATTAAATTTCCATCATATAATTGCTCTCGCGGGTGACTTGTGTATTAATGGATAACGACAGGTTAATCATGGGGCACAGAACAAGTGATGAAGGCGAAGAGGCCAATATGACACAGTCAGCACCACAATTCCCCCAGAAGGAAGCAGGAGGAGAAAGAAAGGGAAGTGTAGGGAGAGGGTGAGAAAGACGAGACAGGGGAGAGTAGAGTAATGGAGCGGAAGGGGTGAGAAGGTTAATCTAATACAAGGGTAGAGAGGGGAGGAGGAGGAAGTAATATTTACAAAAGGGTTTAGTTGGTTAGACGGACCTTTGTTTATAATTTAAGATGAGTTAATACACAAACAAAGGAAAACCCAGTAATAACTCCTAAATGCAATAGGAACTTTTACATGATGCAGTTGTGATGTGCAACATTTTAAACGAGTACTCTGAGTATCAACAACTATGGTGTTCAGGGTGAAGTTTGTACCTCCAGTTGGCAGTCTTGTCTACGGAACCCAGGCCGTGTATGAGAGCCAAGAGCGGTGTGTTAAGTATACCCCCACAGTGTGTATGTCTCGTGTCTTTATATACTAAATGACTGACACAATAAATATTCAAAAAGTATTAATGATCTAATAGTCTGGTCTCCAAGTCCAACTCTTATTGACAACCTTTCATTAGGTTTTAACTCATTTTACATCATCACACAGGAAATTAAGATAAATTAATGCTGAATTATCGTGTATGTGACTCTGGCCAGTCTTCCCTTGATGGTAATGAAGCAGATGATGGGGCCTCAGCGGTCTTTAGATCAGCTGATTCACTCCTGCTGGTCTCCACAGGGGGAGTCTGGTTAGATCAAGTTCTCCTGTGATAAGACTAAGTAGTTAATTGTTTCTATTTCGTTGAGGGGTTAGCAGTAAGTCTCTAATACACTATTTCCTGGGTAGTGAGACCTTAAATGTGATGGAGTAAAGCTATCAGGGTGAAGGCTATAGGACGGGAGTACAGGCAACGTGTAGCCTGGTATCCCGCCGTGCACTCAGAGCCACCCTGGGGTATGAAGTCCTTTGTGTACACTGCCTGATGATCCTTGTTGCTCCAGAGAACGGTCACAGAATCCTTGTTAGGTTACCCCCCGTGTCTTATCTCTCTTACACGGGTTGGCCGCCGCCATGAGATGGACGGAGGGAGGAATTCTGGGGAGCTTCAGCAAGTACTACTTTACCACGATTTACAGTACAATGACGCTAGTTACTGTACGCTTCACCATCAAGAAAAATTTGTCAGTCAACATATAGATTAAACCAGATCCTGTTAACTGAATGTCTGGATTCCTTTAATTCTGTAACAAACAAAGAAGAAACACCGTTTCTACACTGTTCAACTTTGACCACTACATGTTGAGACGACAAGCACTGGACAGACTCGAAAATAAACTTCACGAGAAGGAGTGTCTGACCCTTGCATCGTCGGGGAAAAACAAGATCCATGAGACCTCCATGTAAATACACAGTAAGCTCTCCACTGTGTGCCTGTAGAGAGTGTGTACCTGGAAAGAGTACATACCAGGATAGAGTGGACTGGAAAACATCAAAACACTTAGATATAAATCCTCAGAGTTATTGCGTCCTGTGAAGAGCTGTCGGCGAGGCTCACCGTTTACATAAACTGATTCACATCGTATTATCATCCAATAGCAGACGACGTTGTTATATCATCTGCTTCCCAGGGCAACAAGAGACAATACCCTAAGAGTATAAAGTGCTTTAGTAGCTTTGGTATAAAGCCTCTTGCTGTGTGACGACCAACAATCTAATATCAAACGTCAATATAGAGAAATATTCTTTTACACGGTGTACCCAGTCTATTGTGTACAGTATTAAGAGCCACGGGTCTTAGGTGGCAAAAATTGGATATCATCTACAGTAATGCGGTGTTAATATGTGGTACAATACATAATCCAAGCTTTCCCTCGGTAATGACGTAACGGTATCAATAGTGGAGGAACACAACACACACAGCCTTCAGTTGTGTCAGACAACAAGAGTGTCACACAGCCTTCAGTAGTGTCGGGGAACAAGAGTGTCACACAGTCTTCAGTAATGTCAGACAATAAGAGTGTCACACAGTCTTCAGTAGTGTCAGACAACAAGAGTATCACACAGTCTTCAGTAGTGCCAGACAACAAGAGTGTCACACAGTCTTCAGTAGTGCCAGACAACAAGAGTGTCACACAGTCTTCAGTAATGTCAGGCAACAAGAGCGTCACACAGCCTTCAGTAGTGTCAGACAACAAGAGTGTCACACAGCCTTCAGTAGTGTCGGGGAAGAAGAGTGTCACACAGCCTTCAGTAGTGTCAGACAACAAGAGTGTCACACAGCCTTCAGTAGTGTCAGACAACAAGAGTGTCACACAGTCTTCAGTAGTGTCAGACAACAAGAGTGTCACACAGCCTTCAGTAGTGTCGGACAACAAGAGTGTCACACAGCCTTCAGTAGTGTCAGACAACAAGAGTGTCACACAGCCTTCAGTAGTGTCAGACAGTGTCACACAGAGTAGTGTCCAGACAACAGAGTGTCACACACAGCCTTCAGTAGTGTCAGAGGGAAGAAGAGTGTCACACAGCCTTCAGTAGTGTCAGACAACAAGAGTGTCACACAGCCTTCAGTAGTGTCGGGGAAGAAGAGTGTCACACAGCCTTCAGTAGTGTCAGACAACAAGAGTGTCACACAGCCTTCAGTAGTGTCAGACAACAAGAGTGTCACACAGCCTTCAGTAGTGTCGGGGAAGAAGAGTGTCACACAGCCTTCAGTAGTGCCAGACAACAAGAGTGTCACACAGCCTTCAGTAGTGTCAGACAACAAGAGTGTCACACAGCCTTCATTAGTGTCCGACAACAAGAGTGTCAAATACAAAAGCCTTTCCTGTAAATTCCATGTAGCAGACAGTTCAGATCAGACAGCGTGACCTTCACCCGAGCCATCTAACTTTCTTGACAGGAAATCGAAGGTGACAGTAGACAGCTCACCCCTTTAAAACTACCAGATTGTACCAAAATTTCGAGTCAGAGCAGACTGTCATGAAGCTCAGACACGGTGAAGGAACAGTCGCCTCTAAATGTCAATCTTCAGTTTAAAATTGAGAATTCATAGTTTATTCAGTTCATTTATTCATGTTGATAGTGTCTAAGTCTTTTTCGTAATCACACACTAACTTTACTTTCTCTGTGACCTGACTCATAACTTTACTTTCTCTATGATCAGACTCATAACTGTACTTTCTCTATGACCTGACTCATAACTTTACTTTCTCTATAACCTGCTTCGTAACTTTACTTTCTCTATAACCTGTTTCGTAACTTTACTTTCTCTATGACCTGTTTCATAACTTTACTTTCTCTATGATCAGACTCATAACTGTACTTTCTCTATGACCTGACTCATAACTTTACTTTCTCTATAACCTGCTTCGTAACTTTACTTTCTCTATAACCTGTTTCGTAACTTTACTTTCTCTATGACCTGTTTCATAACTTTACTTTCTCTATGACCTGACTCATAACTTTACTTTCTCTATGACCTGAATTATATATTTTTCACTGTGATATGACTCCTCATAATTTTACTTTCTTTCGGTGATCTGACTCATTATTTTAACAGATCCGTACCTTTATCAACCTCTGACCCCTATCACCTCACCCCTAATACACAGGGGTCTCTCTCTCTCTCTCTCTCTCTCTCTCTCTCTCTCTCTCTCTCTCTCTCTCTCCTCCCATTTGTCTTCTACGTCCTTGTTATCCTTCCTTTGTATATTAAGATGGGGTCCATTCTCTTCATGGCTCCTCTTCCTGTCTGTTTCATTTGCATTTTCATTCTTCTTTTTTTATCCTTATGCTTCATCATTCAGGCAAGAGGATATGTGTGTGTGTGTGTGTGTGTGTGTGTGTGTGTGTGTGTGTGTGTGTGTGTGTGTGTGTGTGTGTGTGTGTGTGTGTGTGTGTGCGCGCGCGTGTGTGTGTGTGTGTGTGTGTGTGTGTGTGTGTGTGTGTGTGTGTGTGTGTGTGTGTGTGTGTGTGTGTGTGTGTGTCGCTAAGTCTTTATATACAACTGACGTCTAAGTTGACTGCGGATGACGTTTGGTTTTTCCAATTACGATTTCATGTAAACAAAGTAACATACAGGGTCCAATTTGCTCTTTTTCATCCAATATGTCGTTTACTATCATTACATCGGCAAAACATACCTATATTAGTTTAGTTAAGTTAGTAATGGTGATATTCCTGTGTACATTATATTATGATAATCAACATCATCGTCCTTATATACAGGTCAGCATGAATTTCCCCCCAAAGTATAATTATCACTATGTTGTAATAATCCTTATTAAAAGTAGCACACAAGCAAAGATATATATACTTTCTGAATGCAAAACACTTAACTACTTTATCTACACTAACCGAGATTAATGAACAATTAAATAAGCTTCCAGAATGAATTAACTTGTGTTCAGATAATTACAATATATTATTCATTTATACAATTTGTCAGTCAACTGTAAATCCTTATTAAACTGGTGTTTAATGGTTGACTTGTTATAACAAAGTTTATCTCGAATTTGTAAATCATTTTGTGGAGCTACATAATTACCCGGGCAGTGAGGAGAGAGAACGTCCTCCGCGACACCCTGACACAAGAGTCACGGGGTAAGGTTAAATAAGTTAGGTCAGAGGTCAGAGGTCACAGGGAGCAGGGGTAACACAAGCACTCATATTTATTTTTTGCAGATAATCTATGTATTGTTTGAGGGGATAATAATTGTATTAATACCGTAATGACTTATAATTACCATTACTAAAATTAACATTATGTCATTAGGCTATTTACACTGAGTGGGGTGGTGGTGGTGGCCAGGAGTGAAGGCTGGTGAACACTGCCTGTACTGTACTGTGGCCATGTAATGCACTGGGGCGAGTCTCAAAGGTTCGTAACTGCTGACATTAAAAGAGATATCCCTAACTTACTTTCCTTCTGACACAAATAGAAGCTTAAACAACAACAACAACAACAACAACAACACACACACACACACACACACACACACACACACACACACACACACACACCGAAAATACACTTAGAATCTATCGTAACTAGATACGTTCTCGCACTACTCGCACAACAAGTTAATAGGAAATGTTAATGAAGGTGTAAGAGAACAAGGAATATGGGATCATTACTCGTAGGTGCAGCCGCTTACCGCCTACAACACCTTCAGCAGTGAGGTGTCATGGCAAGGTCCTCTCTATATCAATTCATCTTGTATTGATCATCGGACTATATATTTTCTTTCAATCTATGTCAAACTTATTTTTTTTGACAGCCAAATATCTCACAAATGTCGAGGGATATTAATTATCAGTTTCCAATGGAATGTTTAATTATTATCTAAGGTTGAGTGTTTGGCTCCAGTACCGAATGTCAGAGATCAGGGGTCAATATAATAGTAAGCGTATATTGTTATTTTCAGACAAGTTTCCCCCATCCTCTTCTCTTAACATTCTCTACGAGGGGAGACCATGGAAAAATAGGAAGCGGTCACTTATTTGATAGCGTACGTATATTTCATTATATTACCTCCTTCCTCCTTTACCACTTGCCCCTTTCCTCTGCTCTCTTCATTTCCTTTATCATGCTTTCCTACTTTTCTTTTATCCCAGCGTTCACTCCCTCTAACCTAATTCACCTCTTCCCTTCCTCACCTCTAACCTCCTTTTTCCTGTTCCTCTTCCCCTACTCTCCTTTATCTTCCTCCCCTCGTGAACTCTTCTCCTGCACCCTAACACACAACTTCCTTGTCTAAGAATCTAACGTCTTCGAGGAAGGTTTGGAATCTCTTGTCTTGTCAAATTTTCTTCCAAACAAAAGACTTAACCTATTACACATCAACCACGCTCTTTTAAGTATAAGAATCAAATCATACACCAGAGACGTTCTTTTGAGTAAACTGAACGATACACTAAAGTTTTTAATCAGAAACATCTTCATTTTTTAACTCGAACAAAGTGAAAAATAACAAATGCCCACACGTAGTTAGAGCTTTACAAATGACAGCTCACATTAATTTTCGATATATCTGTACTACAACATTATGGACGATTTTTTATTTGTTATAAAAATGTGAATGGTGGAATTTGATGGTATTTGAAATATTATATTGTACAAAGGATGTCATATTGCTTGGAAGGTGTGACTAGGGAAGCATTATAGTGGTTGTTAACACTATAGTAGCACCTGTGATCTTGTGGTAGTGACGCAGTAATGATGATACCACTAGAGTAGCACAATTGGAGGTGGAGTGGTGACTGAGTGACTATGGAAGCACTATAGTAGCACCATTGAAGGGTTGGTGATGACTAACTACTTCACCACAACAGCAACAACACACGACGGAGGCGCAGCAGGAACTTACTGATGTGGCTGATGGGCATAGTGGCCACCTGCTGCAGGAGCCTGTTGACGGTAGGGTCCTCGCCGCCGTACAGCTCGTCACGGGAGATACTCAGGTGGAAGTTGTCCCAGAGCGTCGCGTTCTCTCTGTGGGGGGACACAAGGGAAGGGGAGTTAGTATTGGTTAAAACATCACACACATATTAAGCTCTAGCGTTAAATATTGAGGTATTACGTCATATATACCCATCATATATAAGGCACTGTCATAATGCTAGAAATGAGCTGCTCCCGTATTGTAAAAACCTCTATTTATATATAAATCTGCCACATTATATATAAAATTAACATCATATTATGTAAGTTAACTTTTTATATCATACACGTCACATCTCCATTAAAAATCACTACATTTTATATATCATAGAGTACCAACGCCTTAACCATGTCGCTACACCATGTTTAACTCCAGTATTTTCATCCCACATATTTCGTGATTTAGTCTCGATATTACAGAAAACATTGTGATCTGAAATTATATTATATTATGTACTAAATAAACTAAAATAATATACATGGTTAAAAAAATCACAGAAAAGGAATAAAAGTAAATATAATGTTACGCGGGATAATGAAATACAGAATGCCAGGAATGTGGTTCAGGCCTTCAGGTGTTGCAGCTTCGATACCTGTTTTTACCTGGGGTATACCTGAGTGGCTGTGTAATTACTGTAGTATAGGTGGTGATGTTCTTTTTGTTGCGGTGTTAATATACAACTGTGTAGTTATTACTAATGCATACCTGTGTTATAATCACTATAGTCTGGCCACCACACACCTGTGTTATAATCACTGTAGCCTGGCCACCACACACCTGTGTTATAATCACTGTAGCCTGGCCACCACACACCTGTGTTATAATCACTATAGTCTGGCCACCACACACCTGTGTTATAATCACTGTAGCCTGGCCACCACACACCTGTGTTATAATCACTGTAGCCTGGCCACCACACACCTGTGTTATAATCACTGTAGCCTGGCCACCACACACCTGTGTTATAATCACTGTAGTCTGGTCACCACACACCTGTGTTATAATCACTGTAGTCTGGCCACCACACACCTGTGTTTATAATCACTGTAGCCTGGCCACCACACACCTGTGTTATAATCACTGTAGTCTGGTCACCACACACCTGTGTTATAATCACTGTAGTCTGGTCACCACACACCTGTGTTATAATCACTGTAGCCTGGCCACCACACACCTGTGTTATAATCACTGTAGTCTGGCCACCACACACCTGTGTTATAATCACTGTAGTCTGGTCACCACACACCTGTGTTATAATCACTGTAGCCTGGCCACCACACACCTGTGTTATAATCACTGTAGCCTGGCCACCACACACCTGTGTTATAATCACTGTAGTCTGGTCACCACACACCTGTGTTATAATCACTGTAGCCTGGCCACCACACACCTGTGTTATAATCACTGTAGTCTGGTCACCACACACCTGTGTTATAATCACTGTAGTCTGGTCACCACACACCTGTGTTATAATCACTGTAGCCTGGCCACCACACACCTGTGTTATAATCACTGTAGCCAGGCCAATACTCTGCCTGCCAACTGCTTTACCAAACTCTATTTCCAACCTCACTATTCTAGTGGTGATGGAGCGATGTTTTTTCGATACCAATTTAGAAAAATGTGTAGAAAAATATGGAATACAACTGAAACATTATTAAATTTTAGTGGAGATAGACCAGAGGGAAAAAAATTACGAGCGTGTTGCGGAATTCCGTCGAGTGGAATGAATAAAAAAAAACTATATATATATATATATACACGAGTATACACTGATAACTACAATAGGTTTGCAATGAACTTATATAGACAGTACTGTAAAATGTTGATCCATAGGTGTTTTGAGATAATTTACTTAGGAAAGGAAGAGAGAATCTTGCCTCATACATGGGTAATACTTTACATTCACTTACACTAAACTGAAACACTTATTGTATATCGCTATTATATGTAAGAGAGATCATCTTTAATGTTTCCCTAGCTATTATTGATACTGTTGCTTTTACTACTACTACTACTACTACTACTACTACTACTACTACTACTTCTACTACAACTACTACCACTGTTTCTGCCGTTAACATCGTTGCTGTTATTCCAGGTACCGTTAGTGGTGGCGGTACAGTAGCTACTTCTATTACCGGCATTGCTCTTTTGTGTGCTGTTATTGTTGCGTCGGTGGCTGTTATTGTTGCGTCGGTGCTGTTTTAGCATTGTTTACAGTGACAAAGTTGGCACTCACGAAGCTGATTATTACCGCTATGGTTTTGTTCGTTAACTTTTAGCCCACTGAACAACAGTAACAAAAGTAAATATACTATGAGCCTTCCGTAATAATAATAATAATAATAACAATAATAATAATAATCATAATAATAATAATAATAATAATAATAATAATAATAATAATAATAATAATAATAATAATAATAATAATAATAATAATAAGACCAACAACAACAACAACAATAACATTAATAATAATAATAAAAATAACAATACAATAATAATAATAATAATAATAATAATAATAATAATAATAATAATAATAATAAAAATAATAACAATAAAATAATAATAATAATAATAATAATAATAATAATAATAATAATAATAATAATAATAATACCTGAAAACGTGAAGGTAGTCATAGAATCATTACTCAGAACGACAGACAAGCAAACAAACACCAAACTCACAACTGATTGATGAAGATAGATGAAGAATTTTACCAAGTACAGTGTCTATCAATTAATATCTAAATTAATTAAAAAGATAAGAGAGAGAGAGAGAGAGAGAGAGAGAGAGAGAGATATATATTCTCCTCCGTCCCGATATAAGAATGTAACACAGGAGAAAAACATTATCTCTAAATGGGTCAAGTTGTCAGACGCCACAAGCCCCCTTTCAGGCCATAAAGGTGCGAGAGAGTCTTTAATGGTGCCCAGCCAGACCACTGACTCGCCAACACTCTGATTTACATTCATTCAGTATATTCACGTAGTAATGCCGCAGGTTGGGTGTAACTCTTCACAATAATGCCGCAGGTTGGGGTTAAATCTTCACAGTAATGCCGCAGGTTGGGGGTAAATCTTTACAGTAATGCCGCAGGTTGGGGGTAAATCTTCACAGTAATGCCGCAGGTTGGGGGTAAATCTTCACAGTAATGCCGCAGGTTGGGGGTAAATCTTCAGTAATGCCGCAGGTTGGGGGTAAATCTTCACAGTAATGCCGCAGGTTGGGGTAAATCTCATCAATCTTAGCACCGGGTGGGGTAACCGCCAGTAATGCCAAGGTTAAGGTTAGTAAATCTTCACGTGCCGCAGGTTGGGGTAAATCTTACAGTAATGCCGCAGGTTGGGGTAAATCTTCACAGTTGGGGGTAATTCACAGTAATGCTGCAGGTTGGGGGTAAATCTTCACTATATTGGCCGCAGGTTGGCGTAAATCTTCACAGTAATGCCGCAGGTTGGGGTAAATCTTTCACAATAATGCCGCAGGTTGGGGTAAATGTTCACAGTAATGCCGCAGGTTGGGGTAAATCTTTGCAGTAATGCCGCAGGTTGGGTAAATCTTCACAGTAATGCAGGTTAGTAAATTTACAGTGCCGCAGGTAAATCTTTGGGGTAATAAATGCCGCTTCACAGTAATGCCGCAGGTTGGGGTAAATTCTAATGCTGCAGGTTAATTGCAGCAGGCTGGGGGTAAATTTACAGTAATGCCGCAGGTTGGGGGTAATCTTATTTTGCCGCAGGTTGGGGAAATCTTCACAATAACGGTAGAGATTATAGAAAACACCTCACACTATTGGCTCATGTTCGATGTAAATGAGAGAGACAACGACATTTGACTGATCTTCCCTACGCTATTAATTGGTTAAAACAATGTGGATCACCTGAAGATTAGCTCTCAAAGCTTATTTCACCTGATGATTAACCACCCTAATTCTACCTGTCGGATCATATTAGGTTAGATTAGATTAGGTTAGGTTAGTTTAGATTAAATTATGGTATGCTTTTTTATGTTATGGTATTATGGTATGGCAGGGATGGCCAAAAAAATTGGTTTATATACAAAAAAAAATTGTTTTAAATCTATTATGTTGGTTTTAATAAGTTTTAAGTATTTTTAACCCTTTTTATAACGTTTTATGTTCAGGATGATTTAGCAACCATTTATATTCTCCTTTATCTTAAAATAAATCACTGTGCAAAGACGAATTTGAAAACACAATCTTTGATCCGTCATCCAGACTCATCCTACATGCTTAAAGGTAAAAACTAAATTTTAATTCATCTTAATGCATGGACAAAAAACTATTCTACTTTTAGAGAGAGAGAGAGAGAGAGAGAGAGAGAGAGAGAGAGAGAGAGAGAGAGAGAGAGAGAGAGAGAGAGAGAGGCTATTTGGCTCCCTAATAATCAGGATTTGAGATGTTTGCAGCCCTGTAAGAAAGCTTATTACCACCACTTTCATACATACTGCTTTAGCAACATAAAATAAAAGATAAAGATATTTGCTCTCCTCTCATCTGTATAGTTTAAGTCTTTATTGTTGTTTTAAAGAACCTTAAATATATTTGCTTTTCTCCCAAACTTATGTTGTTAACTTTTACATTTTTAGAATATATCATAATAACATATCACCCATGATTACTATCCTGTATTAAACACGAAGACAATAATTAATAACATATGGGTAATATTAGTTAAGGTTAGGTTAAGTTAATTTAAGTTTTCTATTAAACAATTCTTTAATACCTAATGATGAGGTACATGATCGCCGGTATTAGGCAATTATCTCTATTTAGTGTAATGGCCAGGACCAAATAGTCTACGATTAAGCTTTTACAAAGTATCAGACGTTTTTGACTAAATAGAGATAACTTTTTGTTTTATAGCTACAACTTAATTTAAATTAGTTTGTATATGATAAACAAATTTATGGGGGCCAAATTATACTTTAAGTAGGTTAATATCAAGTGCACATGGCTTAAAAATGACCATGATATTGGTCAGATTTAAACAAAATTATGGGAGGCTTACAGCCCCTCCCCCAAAAAACAGCTGGGTGGACTCGCTGTGCTCGCCATGTTTCCCCACCCACAACTTTTTGGACCCCCCTTTTTGAGATTCCTGGATCCGCCCCTGTTCTGGGTTAGGTAGGATACAATTTCGCTGGGTTGACCTCCAGAAAAATAGCTAAATCGTAATGCGGCCCATGACTGAGGAGAGGTTGCCCATGTCTGGTGTAGTTGATGTAGTGTACAGAAGGTGATGGTGTAGTTGATGTACAGTGTGGGCCCATATTTAAACAGTACAGTATAAAATTCTAACTTACTTTATTTCTC